TTGTCCTAACCCTCCCCACTCAGTTTAAGATCTGCATGTTCAGGCAGTCTACAGCCAAACATCAGTCACAGCAGAAATTTCTCTGTACAGAGATTTTTTGGATGTTGTGGAAAAAATAAATCAAAGTGATTTTCTGAGATTTTTTAAAAGAAAGTTAAAACCTTTACAAAGGGATCAATACAGCATGAACAGGGTTCTTACAAGCAGTGACAAAGAAGCAAAATAATAACATCTCCTTTGAGACCGCTCTCTTTCTCAACGTGTAACATGCCAGCGTTTTTTCACATCCTGAGGCAAAAGGTTCTACAACAAACCTTCAGTGTCCCTATGATACGCTCCTGGTGGTAAGACATGATCCAGCTGCTTATTCCAGCCCTAACTCGAACCACAGCCTTAATCGTGTCAGACAGTGTTTTTCAAAGTGATGATAAAGTAAAATAAATGTACATGTGTAGATTCATTCCAAACGGTTCTCATGTTTTCAAACATCTAACATACAGACATGTTGGGTGGGCGAAAGCGTAACGTACCGACGATTTGTCACAGTGTCGATATGTTACACTTTGGGATAAGAACATGTTGCTCTTTTATGGCCATCGTGTGGATACAGTCTTTATCTGTTCAGTTGTAGGAAGCAGGATGTAGAACCTTCACTCATTCTTTGTTTAACAAACTTTAGCCACATACCAAAAGCACAATGAGGGTAAAAGAGGATGAAACATTATATTATCACACAGCTGATCAAATAACACTGAGTGAAAGTGAGATTTAAAGCTTCTGTTTATTGTTACGTTTGATGTGATTAACTGTGTGTGAAGAGACAAAGACAAGAGTGAGAATATTGCACATGTTCATTTTATTAAAGATACAGCTGAAACCAGATATTTACAGACACTTCAGAAAAAAAACAAAAGCATTTTTCTTTACTGTCAAACATCAAATCAGAGTAAATTTTTTTGTTTTGATCAATAAATATTGACATATTTTTTGTATTTGTGAAATGTCAGAATAGAGAGAGATATTTGTTGTGGGTTTTTTATTACTTTCATCAGAGTCAGAAATATACATGCACGTCTTAGTATTTAGTAGAATTACTCAATAGTTTTCTGGAATCTGGGCTCACTGAGAGACAGAACTGGTGTAACTGGGTCGGGTTTGTAGGCCTTCTTGCTGGCACTCACCTTTTCAGTGCTGTCCACAAATTCTCTGTGGGACTGAGATCAGGGCTTTGTGATGGCCACTCTGACACCCTGACTTTGTTGTCTTTAAAACACTTCGTAACTAATTTGGAGGTATTTTTGGGGTTATTGTCCATTCGGAAGACCAATTTGCACCCAAGCTTCAACGTTGTGGCTGATGTCTTCAGATGTTGCTTAAACGTGTACGTGCCATCTATTTTGTGAAATGCATCAGTCCCTTCTGCAGCAAAACAGCTCCACAACATGATGCTGTCGCCCCCACACTTCAGAGTTGGGATGACGTTCTGAGGCTTCAAAGCTTCCTCCTTTTTCCTCAAATATACAGTTTATCATTACAGTTCAGTTTTTGTTTGGTCAGACCTCAGGACATGTCCCCAAAGACTAAGACTAAGATTATTGTCCCCATATTGCAAACTGTAGTCTGACTTTTTTATGATGGTTTTGCAGTAATGGCTTTCTCCTCCCAGTGTAACCTTTCAGCTCGACCACCTTCCCGAGCAGTATGATGGTTGTACATTCCCATGTTTTCATACTTGTGTATTATTGTTTGAACTGATGAACATGGGACCTTCAGTTATCTGGAAATTGCACCAATAGATGAGCCGCACATGTGGAAGTCCACAGTTGTTTTCCTGAAGTCTTGTTAGATAAAGACACAAAAAACTTAGTGCATGAAAGTAATGAAAAAAACTGTGTTCTTTGTCTTTATACTGACATTACACAAATACAAAAAAATATGTTAATATTTATTGATCTAAAACAAAACAAAAAAGTTTGATCTTTGACGGTAAAGAAAAAAGTTTTTTTATGAAGTGTTTGTAAATATCTGGTTTCACCTGTGTACTAAAGTATCCTTGTAAAAACTGTGGTTCTGTTTGAATCCTTAATTATTCTATAAAGTTCACATTGACAGAAATAATAAAAGTTTTTTCAGGCATCAGGGTCTGCAATTATTTTTCAAGGTCATAACCTGGAGCAGAGTAGCACCAA